GGAGGGGGAGGGGCCGGGGCATACTGAGATGATCTCGTACATTGCCAAAACGTGGGTTCCATCACGCGTATGTGTGCGAGTGCGAAATGAAAAAGGCTATCAGACCGCCCGTCATTTGCCAAATGTCGGTGTGCATAAGTTGAAAGACATTATATTTAGATATATTATAGGCATAAACACTGCCATTTGACATTTGCAACAGCCACAACTAGATCACTTGAGCTGGAGTGCCGCTACGGCGTTCCTTGCATGAAGTTGCCCAGCAAGCTGCATGGCTCGCCTATTCCTGAGCTCAGCATTCGCTGCCTCTTGTTGTTCACAGGTCTAGCCATTATGGCAAGCACCTCCTAAATCACCGATATAGACACTTCGCACCGCAACTGCAGTGGCAAGCGCTGTTTCCCCGCCTGCACCAATCGTTTATTATCTGCAGCGATTGTCTCATCGCCGTCCTGTGGGACCTCCTTCAACATTACTTTTTCACGTTCAACCTCACCTCGCAAAAATCTCCACCATTTTGATGGGAGGAGCGGCCCCTTTGCGTGACGTAGGGATGGCCAAGCCTATGGCCTGAAGTGACAGTCTCGTAGGCCTCGCGCGTTGGGGTGACAACCACCACCACAACTCTCGGACTCTTCGAATATAATATGGAGATAAGAGTATAAGATGGCTTAGGAAGGCATACCCTTGTGCGGTAGGCTTGACGCTTGAGGCCGTGAATGTCATAGCATTGTATGCTCCGCGCGTTGGGGGTGACAGCCACGACCACCACCACAATTTTCGACCTCTTTGAATTAAAGTCTAATCTAATATATATAGACGATCGTGACTGACTGACTGACTGACTGACGCTAATTCTAACCATGTTCTAGAAGGGCTAGAAATCTGAAACTTGGTACACATGTACCTTTTGNAAACCGCCCATCGAGATTATTTCGCGTGAGATTCGAGTTGCTGCTCGAAAGCACACAAACTCCTCCTCCAATTCTTCCCGTCTCGCATTCGTTGAACGGGGAATTGCACATTTCTGCTCCACAACATATCACGGTTTCTGCCGGTTGGGCCCATTACTACCTTCACACACTCTAATCAGGTCAGACTGTTATTTTGAGAAGTCACCTGACTTGTGCCGTCATTCAAAAGGGTGCAGGGTATCCGGTCGAAAACTCCTCAACAAGCCAATAGAGCGAACATAAGTTCCAAGGATTTGAAGGTTATAGCATGAGATTTTCCCAATGAACACGATGATCTATGAACAAAAATGGATCGCAAGGTCATAAAAAGGTTCGGAACTTATAATGAACATAAATGACCATAAAATTACCTCTTTTCCCTCTTTTCAACCCTTTTTAGCCGACTATATTGTTACAGAAATTAATCGTAAGTAAATACTCGGGATCAGGTATTTTAGATTTTTCTGAATAGCAGTCAGCATTATTGTTTGCCATCGGCGTTGCTGTATTGACGTAAGAAGCTATTTAAACGTTTGAGAAGGAGCATTCAGCTCGGAAAAATTACATTGCATATAATTGCAACGTAGGCATTTTAATCATACAACTAATCATGAAACTTCTCCAAAAATGGATTACCATAAACTTTCTGCCGGCACTGTATATAGAAGATGGTGACTGACTGACGCTAAGTCTAACCATGTTCCAGAAGTGTTAGAAATCTGAAACTTGGTACACATGTACCTTTTGTGATGCAGAGTTTAAAAAAATTCCGACTTCGGAGGTACATGCCCTGGGGGTACAAATTTTGGGGGGAAAGTTTTTCTGAAATATATTTTGTGACATATGAGGTTGGCATTCAGAGGGGATTTGGATGTGCTGGGTTCGGTGTTGTAGTAGGAACATATCTGACTGGCAATCGGAAGGTCAGGGTTCAAATCCTTGCCAATCCTTGGTTCTTTTTCTACCTTCCATGTCATGTTACTCATTCCCCTTCCATAACACTATTTTTGCTTGAGTAAAACGGAGAGACATGGAACGCTGAAACTTGCCATGTACATGCCTACCGAGACGTTGAGTTCAAGAAAAATGAAAAATTTAATATCCATGCTCTGTGCGGGAAGGTTTTTAGGGGACGACGTTTTCAAGTATTTTTGTCCTGGGGTATTGAGCTAGTGTGGAAAGATGACATTTGGTACATAACTATGATACCTATTGGGATGCTACAGAAAAATGCAGACTTTGGAAGTAAATTCCCTGGGGGCACAAATCTCAAAGGGAGATGTTTTCAAATAAGTTTTTTGAATCAGTTAAACTGCTGAACATGGAAAGCTGAAACTTTGCATGAATGTGACTACAGAGACAAGGAATTAAAGGAAAACGTTAAGTCGCGATACATCCCCAGGGGAATTTTTTGAAGAAGCGATGTTTAAAAAAAAATTGTATTGGAGAATTGGACAGAAATGGAAAGGTGTAACTTGGCACACGTATGAGTGACATGATATATTATTGAGTTGAGGGAGTATTCAGCTTGCATGATGCATCCCCTCATAGCATAGCTTTTGGGTGGGTCGGCTTTTCCAAACATGTTTTTTCATAGCGAAAAGGGCAAACGTATAATATTGAAACTTTGTGGGCCTGTAGTTCTCTCAGGATTGATTTGGGTAAGAAAAGAAGTACTTTTCCGTTGAAACGCCTGAGAGCACATATGTTGAAAAAGGCGTATTTTCTCGATCCAGCAAAACAGAGGGCGCTAGAAAGTTTAAACTTGGCTAAGAACTACATAATGAAAAGCTGAGTAAAGAAACAATTCTAGTTTCATCTAATATATATAGACGAACGTGAGTAGCTGACTGACTGACATTAATAGATATTCACATGTTGAGTTCAGGAAAAATTCCACTTTGGTGATACACGCCATAGGGGCACAGCTTTTCGGGGAACATATTTTCAAATAGTTCTCTTTGCTTCGATCAAACTGAGACTCATGGAAAGCTGAAAAATGGCAAGAACGTGACTGGTGAAGCACTCAGCTCAAATGTCAAATGTCCAAATTTTTTTTTGGGGGGGGTATATTTCTTGGGGTTGTAACGTTTTCAAAGAGTTTTAAATATCGTAGCGAATCGGGCAGAAATAGAAAAATAGCAGCTGGCGCTCGCATAACGGACGTGATATTGATTTATGGAAAAATTCAACTTTTGCTGAGCGCCTCCCCAGAGCACAGCTTTTGGGTGGGTTGATTTTCCAAATATATCTTTTACCGTCAGCAAAAAGGGGAAACGTATCAGGCTGAAACTGGGTGGCATGGAGTTCCCTGAGTCTACATTTCAGAATAATAATAAATTTTCGTTAAAAAAAATCAGGACATTTTTTCAAGATCCATTTTCGTGAATTAGTTTTCGATGCAACGAAACAGACACAAAAAAATTAAAATTCCCTCAGAAGTACCTGTTTGATGTCTGAGTACAGGAAAAATCCAACTTTTGAAATATGCACCCTTAGCGTAGATTATAGGAGGGAAGTATTTGAAAATGTATTCTCCACCCTTACAAAAAGGGACACACGAAAATATTTCAAGTTGGGCACACTAGAAATAATAGAATTAATGATATTGATAAAAATGAAGACTTTCGTCCCCATATGTCACATATTCCAATGGGACTTACTTTAAATACGTGTTTGCCATTTCGCAAAGAATATATGAATTAATGACTATCCAAGGTAATGGAGCGCCGAAGGCAGCGACCATAGCGAGTTTGTTTGCCCTTCGGGCAAACAAATTCGCTAGTTTTAAATATAATCGATGGCGCTATATCTGGCCGCTGATGTGCAAATACACTGACGTCGTTTCTTTGTGATATTTGTTGTTCATAAAATATTTTTTTTTACAGTTTTGCGGATCATACGATGAGGACTTATCCTCTTTTGTCCTCAACTTCTACTCTAACAATTTATACAATCTAGGCTCGGTTGTTGTGTGGATTTGTGAACGGCGGGTGTTTCAACAGATCAACCAGGATCAAACCAGCATAGATTCATTCTTGTAAAAATCATGAAACCGCCCATCGAGATTATTTCGCGTGAGATTCGAGTTGCTGCTCGAAAGCACACAAACTCCTCCTCCAATTCTTCCCGTCTCGCATTCGTTGAACGGGGAATTGCACATTTCTGCTCCACAACATATCACGGTTTCTGCCGGTTGGGCCCATTACTACCTTCACACACTCTAATCAGGTCAGACTGTTATTTTGAGAAGTCACCTGACTTGTGCCGTCATTCAAAAGGGTGCAGGGTATCCGGTCGAAAACTCCTCAACAAGCCAATAGAGCGAACATAAGTTCCAAAGATTTGAAGGTTATAGCATAAGATTTTCCCAATGAACACGATGATCTATGAACAAAAATGGATCGCAAGGTCATAAAAAGGTTCGGAACTTATAATGAACATAAATTACCATAAAATTACCTCTTTTCGCTCTTTTCAACCCTTTTTAGCCGACTATATTGTTACAGAAATTAATCGTAAGAAAATACTCGGGATCAGGTATTTTAGATTTTTCTGAATAGCAGTCAGCATTATTGTTTGCCATCGGCGTTGCTGTATTGACGTAAGAAGCTATTTAAACGTTTGAGAAGGAGCATTCAGCTCGGAAAACTATGGACGATGAGAAAACCTCTGTGAATGGTTGGAAGGAATTTTGGAGGACAGAGATTGCCGTCTTCCGATTCGCGTTTCGCTTTTCGGACGTTAGGAAAGAAATCGGATGTTAAGTTTTGTGAACAGTTTGCAGGGTTTTGGAATTTGTTCAAATAGTTTTGAAAACGGAAGTATAGTTTCGAGAAACGGATGTTTGCAATGGAGAAGAATTTGTAATGGGAGTGTTTGAAAGCTTGGAAGTCACGTAACTCAACAGCTCGCGCAATGATAACATTTTATGACAAAACTGACCTGTGATGTCTGGACCACGCAATAGAAAAAGGGAATTTAAAATTTCCTCCTTAGAATAACGATTCCCACACGATTTACATGCACTGACACAAATTTAATCATCTCCAAATATGACATAAACAATAGGATAGGAAAAAAAATCGTAAACCTTCACTACGTGAGAAGGTTTTGTGAAAGCTTCCGCATCAGGTTTTCTTCAACGTTGTTGCATAACTTCTGAGATTCCTGGCATATTCAACCCAATTCGGAATCGTGGCAATTCGGGCTAAAGCCTTCAGTAGGGCGTTGATTTTCACGTCGACGTTGAGCATATACTGGAATGTCGCGGTACCGTCTCCATTCGGTGAAATCCGGAATCCACTCGGATGATATGTGGCCCTGTAGAAAAGAAAAGTACGAACACTGAATTCCTTGTACTTATACCTCCAACCCTTGCGTTTCCGCATGGAAATCCGAAATGGAAGATTTACCTAACGTAATCCCCTTCGGGCGGTGCCCCGGGGAACTCAGTCGAGATGAAGCACATGTATAAATCCTCCACCATCCGCTGGGTGTCTAGCACCTCATGCCGAGAGTACACAGCCACGAAGTCTCTTTTCGAGATGTATTTCGATCCTAGATTTGCTCCGATCACGTGGGCGATCATTTTGGTCTTAGAAATTCTCTGCAACAACAAGGAGTGTACTGCGGACGATGGTACCCCGTGGAATGTTAAGGAAAGGTTTTCATTCCTCAGCATACAGTTCCAATAATTTATTGATTCAATTGACATGTATATTTTGACCCTTTGTGCAAAATCTAGATAAAATTATTTTAGTCTATTGGTATCGTATCCTTACCGAAACATCACTTTGACGTAGGCTTTCCCTTACAATACTGTGTATTAAAAAGAAAAAATCATCAATTTTGCTTTTCTGTTGCATTCCATGCAATATTTCCGTATATAATAGTCTCGTCAAAACGTTCTCAGTCCGCAGAGAGGAGGGGGACATTTACTACGGACATTTAACTGTGTCCTAAATAATTTTATTTTGTTATTATGCTACTTTATTTGTCAATATTTTATATGTTATTGTAATCAATTTACAGAAATGGCGCAACCTGCCGGACCGTATAGAAAAAATGAAGAAATGAATAAAAAAATGAAGTTGGTCAGCGATAGGAATTTATTTCCTTAAAAATCTTCACACGTATAACAGTTGAGCCCTGTTGCAGCAATTCAAATTTTTATTTTAAAATAGTTTAATGATCGTTGATTGTACCCAATAGAACAGAAAAAAACTCTCTTCCCTTTTCGTTAATTATAGCAATAACGTATTTTCGATATTCTTCTGAGGTAAATTCCAAACCTCAATCTAATCAACGATTCATTACTTTCGTTCAGTGGGCATCCGTTCATTTTAGGTTAGGTGGGAGCATATGCTGGAAGCCGATGTCGTAATAATGTTTTTCCATAATTCGCTGCAATATTTGCAAACTTCCTAGGCTTCAAGGAGACAAGGAAAGTGAACACTTCGCCAGTCTTTCCCGTGATTATTCTTGGTTTGAAAGTTGCTCGCTCCGGCAACTCACTTTGATGACTTCTATTGAGGATGTCGCTGGGTTCCAGGTGGGGGTTCTTTCCAAATGCCACCAGTACTCATCGATAAGGTCCTCTGCAGAAGCGTTCACCACCGTCTGCAAGACGATAGAGGGAGAGGGAGGGAGAAAAGAACGACCCCGTGAATTTTCTGGAAGAAAACCACATCCACTTTCGGATGGCAATGGTGTATCGCTTGGAACCTTCAGGTATTTTAGGTGAAAACTGAAAAAAAAAGAGACGTGTCGACGTTTGTTTATTTGGTGCATTTGGAGAGAGGTGGATGTCCCTTCGGATATACGAGTATCCATCTGATGGAAGGGATATCCACGACGTTCAAAATCCACCTCCTGCCCACATCGCCGTTCTGCCAATGTGCATGCAGTGTAAGCTACCTTCGCCATCTCTTGGCTGGGAAAGAAATTATTGGCTTGAATTGTAAGTGAGTGATGGCGAAATTGGGATCCATGTCCAATCTCGCCGTTTAACTCCAAAGTCAAACTCGCCAAACCGTCTCAATAATTCAAGGGCATGCGATTCACCTCCGTCAGAAAGATATAGTTGCTGTATTTCCGACTGTAAAGGCTCCTGATGACGATACCGTCCTCTTCGCGTTCGAGATCCCACGCACCGTTATCCATCAGATCCTTGACCTCGTGAAAGGCGGATTCCCCTTGATTCACATAGGGGAGGAGATCGACCTGTCGGGGGAGAGTATATATCTATGAGGTTGCTCGAGATGGCTACGTAGGCGAATAGATCGTAGGTAGATCGGTGGGGCAACTGGGAAGATCTTGATAGGAATTTGCTATAGGCCCCCTAACTCTTCTCTCCAGGATGAAGTAGCGTGTATTGCACTCATGCGTAGGATCGGCGAGATCTCGAAGCAGGTATTGCTCTTCGGAGACTTTAACATGCCAAAAATAGATAGGTCGATGCCACAAGGGGGGTGCGAAAGGGATAGGGAATTTCTCGTTGCGGTTCAGGACGCTCTTCTCGTTCGGTACGTAAATGAACCGACTCGCGAGGAAGCTTTATTGGATTTAGTTTTTGCGACGAACGACGATCTGGCACGAGACGTTAAGGTACAGGATAACTTGGGAGATTCGGACCACTGCGCGATCACGTGGAATATCAAGCGGACGAAGAGTAAGGCCAAACCGA